GGTGTTGACATGAAGCTTGAATCATCCCTGTGCAGAGTTTCTGCAGGGAGATTCAGCGGAGGGGTCTGAGACGGTGGTTACTTCTACACGCTCACTGGGTGTATTGTCTGATTAAAATGGGTGCGAACCCAACTCTGAACCAGTTGACCTTCTCTATGACCTTGAATACTGTAAACGTGTTGGGTTGTTGATTCTCCATGACTCAGCTTCATTTTCTTTAAAATGGAGACAATAACAAACCTACCTTGGGTTGTTATAATGATAAAAGAAGGAATAGCCACAAAAATTTTAGAACAACGTCATGCTAATTTTTCAATAAATATGAACACATAATGCTGACGTAGTTGACAAAGCATCATTGGAGGGTACGGAACTGGAGATTTATATTTTGAAAAACACTAAAAAGTCAGGTGAATGAAAGGCAGTAGGAAGGTTATTGCCGTATGGCAATAGCTTGAGTAAAACACGGAGACAAATTAAGCACAGTGTGACCACTAGACAGTGAGAACACCTCGCCATGTAGGCTGACACTGGCTGCTGGTGATTGGTCCAAGGGAAACTTGGGGTGGGGGGGTGTGGAAAACCTCAGGAGACTTTGGTTTAGGATGGGGAGCCTCCCAATGCTCAAAGGTAGGGGAACATCACATTAAAATAACCTTGTGGAGTTTTCAGAATCAAGTCCCCCTTTTATGCTTAATAATTGTAGCTGGAAGAGTAGAATCCTTTCTGCACATCCTTCTGTAACCTAGAAATGGAGATTCTATTTCAGGACACCTGTGTTGCAGGAAGTCCAAGACACGTGTCCTCCACGAAGTTGTTCCCGCGAAGCCCTTAGCAGGGTCTCACTTGTGTTTGGATCCCTTCACATTCAACGTGATGTCCTTGATGGTCATCTCCCCTAGCCTCCTCTTTTCAGAGTGAGCTTGGATTCAAGATCTGTTGCCGAATCACTTTGCATCACATCAACGGAAAAGGTGTCATTCGAAATCCTTGCAATGGTTTTGCTCCTAATGGAATTGGCATGTGTGTGGGGGGCTTGGAAATGGATTCTGGGAAGGCGAGTCCCACAGAGAAGACCCTAAAATATGTTATGGACCACATGCTAATGGATCAAGGTACAACTTCTCAAAGAAGCTCCTTGAAAAAGACATTTCATTCATTAACTGCATTTGGTGTCAGTACTTAAGAACAACCATGCTTTATAGTGATTCAAACACTAATATACTAAAATGATTCTGTCGTTTGATACATACGAGCTCCTTGAGAGAAAGGGAGACAGGATTTTGATTTCATGTTCTTGGTGGAGCTCAGAGGGCCAATGTGAGTACAGGGTTGATGCTTTATTGAATTAGATTTAAATTGGGACGAGATAACAGGAAAACTATAAAACTATTTCCCAGAGGAAGAAGTCAGAGCAGGTCCTACCCATGTTTCCCCTACCCATCGGCAGTTCCCTTTGGTGGTTGGTGGTCAGTAGAAGTAAAATAGCACAAAGATTTGACACGGGAGGGGTACAGGTGATTGTGGGCGATGGCCATAATCTAGGTGGACTTGGTTGTATTTTTTTCCCCCTTGGTAGCTTCTCAGCATATACTACATACTTTCTGGAATTTTGAATTATATGTGCATGACAACGGACAGGAATTCTACTTTTAAAAAAATCTAATATACTCTTGTGCTCAAGCGAATGAGTACATTCTATCACAGGGAAAAAATTTGACCCCCCAAAAATGAGGTTCAAATAAAACATGGCACCCTGAGATATTGAAGGCTCGAGAATTGATACCCTATATCCTTTTTCCCGGAGTGTTTTTGGTTCTCTCATGCGAGATCGAAGACTTTCCTGTGGCTACTACTGATTTTGCCAATTTATTCCTTCATCCCACATCCAGAGACAGGTACAAATTCCTCTGACCTCTTGGGGGTGGGGAAGGAGTTGGGTGGGAAGTTTACTTTAGCAAAAGGCTGTCCTTCCCCACATCAGAGCTGCCATCGTATCTCTTCCTATTCCCCACGCAACCGGCAAGGGGACCACCAGAATGAACTACTGCAGAGATCCACCTCCATCTTCCCGGTTTCCGTGGGATGGGCCCCACCCAGAACTGCAAAGTAGTTCAGAGAATCTCGGAATATAAAACACGGCACAGAGCCCCCAAGAAGATTTGGTCTTATTTATAGAAAGGTGGTTGGTAGGGGAAGGGTCAGCAGGCCAGAGTGTCTTGGGATCACCGTGAATCATTTTCTACGCACCAACGAAGTGCGAACACCCTTCTGGAATTCACTGCGAGAGACACTGAATCCCGCCACTAAGCAAATATGAGATGAGTTGATAAAAAAAAAAAGAAGAAGAAAGAAAGGAAAGAGAAGAAGGTCCTGAACTCTTGACTACAGATATAATATAGTGAACGCAGAAAATCAAAAACACGCTTTCTATCTGACTCAAAATAAAGGTGTACTTAAACTTGTAAAAGACAACATTTTTATTTGAATGATATGACAGGCCTGTCACCAAAGTGTTACCTGCTATAAAGAAAGCCGAAGACTTATTACCTTTATTAGACCCGTGACACTGAGCTTTTGCCATACATTTCTAGCTTCTGTCCCTCTACAGAGACAATTTTCTTTTCTTAAATAAACTGTCATGCTGGTGTTAATTTATTGTGGGCGCTCTCATGCTCTGCGAATTCTGCTGATATAAAACATGTATATGTTAGATTGGTAATAGTATCTTTAGTGGGGCTGACGAGAACAAATGTGTTTCCCTCATGGCTGTGCTAATGTGATAAAGGAAAATGGGCTGTTCATCAGCTTTTCTCTGGGTAAAGACAGTAGAGATGGAACCACATTCTTTTTTATGCATTAATACCACCGAGAACTTTTCACTAGTTATATTTCATGGGCCTGCATGTGGTTCAAAGACGTTGTAAAACATGAGATAATGCTCCAAATAACAAAGTAGAAAAGCCTGTATCTTTTATAATGATAACAGTCAAACACCAAATGACAGTAACAGGCTGTAAAAAAATGGGATGCAAAAAAAAAAACCACCCAACAAGGCTTTCTATCCGGCAGAGGGGTGTACCTCCAGACCCACCAGGGGCAGGGTGAGTGGTTTTCCTTCTTTATCTTGAAGCTTTGTTTTTATAATTAAGTAAAATGCAATGCCAGGGAAGGGAATTTTAGAAAGAACATTGTTTAAGTGAAACAGGTTGATAGAATGGAGAAAAGCCATATTAGAAAACTTTTTAAAAAAAATATTTTTTCTTTATTGATTTTAGAGAGAGAAGAAGAGAAAGAGAGAAAGATAGAGACATCGATGAGAGAGACATCAATTGGCCGCCTCCTGCAGGCCCCCCACTGGGGATCGGGCCCACAACCTGGGCATGTGCCCTGACTGGGAATTGAACCAGCAACCTCTTGGTACATGGGTTGACACTCAACCACTGAGCCATACCAGCCAGGCTTATACAACTTTTTGAAGAGTTAATATTGTCAAGTAATGATTTTGTTAACATCTGGGGTTTTTGTTTTGTTTTGGAGAGAGAAGAGGTTGTTCAAAAGGGGTTCTTGAGGCAATCACTCCCATGACTTAAAGATGCTGGAGCATTATTGTTTATTTTCATCAATTATTATGAGGCCATTTTAACAGAACAGCATTTTGAACACTGTGATTTGAGATATCATTTTATTAAAATGTTAGCCTCTAAACATTTCTACTGCACACCGTTAAATTTCTCTCTCTTTCCCAAAGCCATCCCCTTCCCCAGACTTTGGTTTGCCATTTCATCCCTTTGACTAATTAGAGTAGCAAAGATTCCTTTTACATTTACCATAAAAACACTTTAAACAGGCTATTTGTGGAGACTAAAGTTGAGGTCAAAACAGCTGATCCGTCTATTCAGAAGGATGTAGTCACTGAAGATTTTGCAGAGATATCATCAATGAAGAAATCTGATCAATTTTGCGTTGCTATTTAGGGATCCCTTTCCACAAACAAAAATTCCATTACATCAAGTGGTATCATCCAGGGATCGTCAAACTGAAACCTATGGAACACACTGCTGACCACCTGTTTTTAGAAAAGCTTTGCTAGAAGACATCATGCTCAATCATGTATATGTGATCTGTGGCTGGTTTCCCATCACAACTGCAGAACTGAACAGTTGTGACCTGGTTGCATTGATCCACAAACTCATTTGCTTGTAAATAAAAGCATTACTCCTTGTACAGAGGAAATTGGCTAATCTTTTGTGCAGTTATTAGGTTGTTTAAATAATTAGCCTAAAACAGATTAGAAATTTACTTTCATTTTTCTAAATATGTCTTATTGGTTTTTTAGAGAGAGAGGAAGGGAGAGAGAGATAGAAACATCCATGTGAGAAAGAAGCATCTACCAGCTGCCTCCTGCACACCCCCTACTGGGAATTGAGCCCACAACCTGGGCATGTGCCCTGACCAGGAATTAAACCGGGACCACTCAGTCCATGGGAGGATGCTCAATCCACTGAGCCACGCTGGCCGGGCTATTTTTATTCTTCACTGGGAAAGTACAGCTGAGAATTACTAACACCTAACAAAGTAAATGTTTCCAAGAAATATTTTTGTATGAGCAACTTAAATTGAATTATATCTACTCATATATATATATATATATATATATATATATATATATATATATACACACCATATTAACTAGTACCTCAAAAAACCACATATCTTCAAAAAACTTACGAACGCATAACCATCAAGGCTGTTAAAGTATGGAGCAAACAATTGTGTATACCTGTGAATTCACTGGTAGATATCACAGTCCAAAACAACATGTGGTTTTATATCTAGTTATATAGACGTGTAGCTACATCATTAAAATAAATTACTTTGTCTTTCCAACTGAAGAAAGTGGAGCAGTAAAAAATGAATCTGAGAAAGACTGCTGAAATGTAGTTATCACAAAATTAAAGGCTATGCAATTAAACTAATGATAGGCTACTTTCTTACAGGTGCATCAGAAGAAGGTCAGCCTCTTCCTCAATGGCTTGGAGGGGGATGGTACAGCTTTCGATACACAAACTCTAAGAGGCGTGATTCCAGATTTTGCCTCTGGTGCTACACAGATAGGGCAGAGTTTAAACGGTAAGATTCTGACTTCAGGGAAGTGTTTATTGTATTCGATGATAATGTTACTAAGTGTGTCAAAAATAATATTTTTAAAGTGTTTCTGTTTCTTAGGGCAACTGTATCTGTTTGCTAGGGTGACTGTAACAAACTAGCATTCTGTGGGCGGAGGCTGAATTAATAGACATGTATCCTCTCCCATTTTGGGGCTGGAAGCCTGAAATCAAGGATGTGCAGTGTTGGTTTCTTTCGGAGCCTTGGAGAGAGAATTCATTACAGCCTCCGCTCCTGGTAGCTTCTGGCAATCCTGTGTTCCTCGGCTTGTAGCTCCGAGTCTGTGCCTCCAGTCACATGGCCTTCCCCTCTGGGTCTTCTCCCCTGTTCTTCTCTTCTAAGGATACTTGTGGTTAGATGTAGTGCGCACCCTAATCCAGTACGGTCTTATCTCGAGAGAGTTAATTGCATCTGCAATGACCCGTTTTCTGAAGGAGGTTGCGGTCACTGGTTCCCATGGACTTGTATTTTGGAGGCCTCTCTTCAACTCACTCTACCAGAGAAACTTTATAATCAGGACATATCTATTGTGATCAATTTTAAAATTAACAATGTGTAATAAGTTTTATTTTTTCTCATTTTTTTTTCTTTATTGATTTTGGAGAAAGAGGAAGGGAGAGGGAGAGAGAGATAGAAACATGGATGAGAGAGAACATCGATTGGCAGCCTCCTGCATGCCCCCCACTGGGGGTTTAGCCCACAATCTGAGCATGTGCCCTGATTGAGAATCAAACAGGTGACCTCTTGGCGCATGGGTTGACACTCAACCACTGAGCCACACTGGCTGGCCTATATTTTCTCTCTCTCTTTTTTTCATTTTACTCTAGGGTTGTTGTTAAAGTAGGACTTAGAGTATCAGATACAATATCAAATACAAACTAAGAAATAATATTTGATGTGTAGTAAGCTGGATTTATAATCTTCATATCTCCCTATCCTAAGACTGTCCATGTGGTTTAAAAAGATAATACACACTGCATATTTAAAAGAACAGAAGTTGAATTTAAAATTATCATGAAACAACTAGCACAATTGCCTATACTTTAAAATACAAATATTATTTACATTATTGAAAATACTCATTAGAAGAAAACCCAAACAATACAGAATTCTGTGAAATAGCATTCTCTTTTCTATCTTCGTAGATAGATACAGATAACTTCATGCTCTTCCAAATTTTAGTGTAGATAGCTACAAATATGCTTATAAATATAATTTTCCAAGAATGAAATTATAATACAAATGTTTTCTCTGAGCCCTCTAAAAATAAATACTTCCCCTCCAAATGTTACGGACTTTTTCTGTTAATGTGCCTTCTCATTTCAAATGACCGCACTGTGAACAATTGTATAGCTGTAACAAAAACTTTTTACACAAATTTCTATCAATGAGCATTTATTATTCTAATATTTCAATATTATTAGCAGTTATTTGATAGAAAACAATATATACCTGTATTTATATCTATTGATCTAGTATTCACATAAACATAGAGTCATACATAAAACATACAAAAATACATACATACATACTGATCGTCCAGTTCCTTAAGACCTTATACTTTTGATGTCAATGTACCTGAGTTCAAATCCCATCTCCCCACTTACTGGCCATGCGGCCTGGATCACCTTTGTAATGTCTCTAAACTGTCATTATCCCAATTAAAATGGCAATGATGACGGTGACGATACTAGTCCATCTGAGGATCAGTTGAGGCTGTCACAAGAAGCATTTCTGTCTTTCCATCTGCCACATGGTAGTTATTCAATATTTGTTGAATGAATAGCTAACTTATAACTGGGCTTTGTATATGCTAAACTGTATTGATATGTAATGCTATTATTAACATTATTATATTTATTTCCCTAGCATAGCTCTGTAGAAGTTAGATCAAAGTATATGGCCATTTAATATTTGAATACATGTTAGAAAGAGTGCCTCCATGTGTAACAACAGACCACCTCCTGACAGGTTGTAAAAAATTGCAGCCTTATTTAAAAATATGGGCAAATACTTTTTTTTTTTTGCTTAAACACGAACTGACCTTAAAAAAATATTTATTTTTTCACCTTTGCCATTTTTGTCATTGAAAAATATTATTGGGTGACTCCTTAGAATTATTTGGCCATTAGTGAGTTTGAGTAGCTTTCCACGTGTGTCTCGATTAATTGAATTTCACTTGTTTTGTGTTTATATCATACTCTGGGATTTCTTATTTATTTGTAAAAGCTCATTAATGTTAAGAATGTTATGCTACACATGATTTTTGTTTCCAGTTTTTAGATAGCCCGATAACTATACATTATAGAAATTTAAATATATTAAAAAATATTTTTTTAATTTATTTTTTATTAATTTATTTCTGTTACAGATGTTTCTCCGTTCCCCACCATTGACAACTTCCCCCCATCCCCCCTCTACCCCATCCCCAGCTTTGTTGTCTATGTCCATCAGTTATGCACACATGCATATAAGTTCTGTGGTTTATTTCTCCCCCCTCCCCCTCTTCGGAGGATTGTCAGTCTTTACCCTACTTCTATGACTCTGGGTCAGTTTTGTTCATCAGTTTGTTTAGTTCATTTTATTCCAGAAATAAGTGAGATCATGTGATATTTGTCTTTCTCTGCTTGGCTTGTTTCACCTAAGATAAAACTTTCCAGGTCCCTCCATGTTGTCTCAAAAGATAAGAGAGCTTTCTTTCTTACAGCTGCATAGTACTCCATTGTGTATATGTACCACAGCTTTTTTATTCATTTGTCTACTGATGGACACTTGGGCTGTTTCCAGAATATATTGAAAATTTTTAAGGAAGGCAAAGACATGAATGCACCATAATGCATTAAGGATTCAATTTGATGAATTTTTTGTCTATGTATATACTACCTGTGCAATTCTCCCCCAGCTATAGAACACATTCTCTATCCCAGACTCCTAGTGAATACTAGCTCTATTGGTGAACACAGGACAGTGTCAGTATAGATTGTCGACATTGGTTAGTGCAGCCTCTCCTTGAACTCATGCAGTTTGGATCACGCAGTAGCTACTCTTTTGTGTCTACTTCCTCTTGTCAGCACTGTCTATGAGATACATTGCATGTGTTGCTATATTTTAGCTTTAGGAAATCATTTTTTATTCTAAAATGGTTGTTCCAACCAGCAATGTATAAGAATTGTTCCACATCCTTGCCAACACTTAGTATTGTCAAATGCTGCTGGCCATTCTGGTGGGCGTGTGGTGCATTTTCTGATGATTGATGATATTGAGAACTTTTTTCAGGTGCTTATTGGTCATGTGAATATGCTCTTTCAAAGTACCTATTTAAGTTTTTGCCAATTTTTAAATTGGATAGTTTATCTTTTATTGATTAATAGGAGCTCTTCCATATATTTTGAATATGAGTTCTTTGACAGAGGCACGGATGACTCTTCTGATGCATTGCGTATCCTTCATTCTCCTAATGGCATTCTTTGATCAGAAGACATTCTTTATTTGAATAAAGTCAAATCTACAAATTTTTCTTTTTTCCTAATTCTTTTAAAATTTCCTGTTGAGGATATTATCTCAAACCCTGATATTATGATTCTCTCAGCGGCACCCCAGCAGAGAGGTGGGCAGACAGTCAGTGGTTTGGGTGAAGGTCAACTTGGGTTAAGAAAACGAAGAAAGAGTATCACTGGGTTTAGAGCTGCGTCTCCCATTGCCACTGGGCAGGGAATCAAATTCATAGACCTGCTCATCTCTGAAGACAACCTTCAGCCTTGGGTTTCATTGGTGGGAATGTAAATGATGCAGCTACTATTGAAAACAGTACGAAGTCCCTCAAGAAATTAAAAGTAGAACTATCCAACAATCCCACTACTGGGAATGTACCAGAGGGAATTAAAAGCACCAACTCAAAATGATACAGGTCCTGCCATGCTCACAGCAACACCATTTAAAATAGCCAAGACATGGAAACAGCCTACATGTCCACTGATGGATGAATGGATTAAAAAGTTGTGAGATACGTGACCAGTCACTGTGGCTCAGTGGTTGAGCATCAACCCCTGCACCAAGAGGTTGCCGGTTTGATTCCCGGTCAGGGCACATGCCCAGGTCGTGGGCCAGATACCCAGTGGGGGGCAGCAGGAGGCAGCCAATCAGTGTTCTCTCTCATTGATGTTTCTATCTCTCTCTCCCTTCCTCTCTCTAAAATCAATAAAGAAAAAAATTAAAAATAAATAAGAATAAAGAGATTCATATATATATATAAATAAAATATTATTTGGCTATTAAAAAAAAAAAAACAAGAAAATTCTGTCCAAGCTGGTTTTGCTCAGCGGTTAAAGCATTGGCCCACGAACCAGAGAGACCCGGGTTTGGTTCCCGTTAAGGGCATGTACCTCGGTTGCAGTTTGTCCCCGGCTAGGTTGGGTTCACGTGGGTGGCAACCAGTCAATGTGTCTTTCTCACATTATGTTTATCTCTCTCTCTTCCCCCCTCTCTTCCTCCCTCTCTCCCTCCCTCTCTATCTAAATATAAATGCAAAAATGTCCTCAGGTGAGGATTACAAAAAAACCAAACAACAAAGAAATTCCACCATTTGCAACAACATGGATGGACCTTGAAGGCATTATGCTAAGTGAAATCAAACAGAGAAAGACAAGTACTGTGCGGTATCACTTGTGCGTGGAATCTAATACAAGCAGAAACCTGAACCCAAAGAAACAGATTAGACTCTGCGACCAGAGCTGGAGGGCGGAGGGGAAGGGGAAATCGGAGGCAGGTGGTCAAAAGGTACAAACGTCCATTTGTAAGACGAACAAGTACCAGGGATGTCAAGTGCAACATGACTGACGAACACGGCTGTGCAATATGCGGGAAAACGGTGCAGGGTGAACCCTGTGAGTTCTCATCACTAAGGGATTTTTCTTTTCTTTTTTTTACTTTCATTTTATTGTGTCTATGTAGGGAGATAGGTGTTCATTGAACCTATCGTAGTAATCATTTCACAATATATGAAAATCAAACTATCATGTGGTACCACTTGAATGGATATGGTCATGTGTGTCAATTACTTCTCAATAGAACTGGGAAAAGTATGTATCTCTAAGTCTTGGGTTTCTAATCTATTACAAGATGTTTTTAAAAGTCATAAGGATATTATAAAAATTATATGAGATAATATGTCTAGATTATATTGCCTGTCATATAGTGAATGTTCAGTAAGTGGCAGCTACTATTAAACTCTTTCAATGTCTATTTTCTTATTGTGAATCAGGGATAACAGTGTTTCTATAGAATTGTTGAGAGATCAAAAGAAAAGGTGTTTATAAACAGCTCTATCATTTTCATCTGTGCCCTTAGATCAAGCCAAACTTCCGTGACCAAGTCACATCTTAAGAAATCTATATATTTAGAAACTTGGTCTGAGAAATTAGTATATTGAAGAATTTTATAAAGCACTTTGCATGCATAATTTCTTAATAACACATTAAATCTTGTGAGCCTTGTTTCAATATTTAATCCCCATTAGTGCTTCTAAAAGTGTTTTATTGCCCCAAATATTGCTCAAAGTACTCAGTAGTGCCATAAATTTGTCCACGATGTATGAGGGAGTTGACATCACTTCTACTACTTTGGGGTGCTGTTGAAGTCATGCGTCAAAGGGCCAGTGTGGACTGGGGATGACACTCGTTTTTAAACTGTGTGAAAATAAATGGAATCCCTGATTCGAAAACATATCGCCGGAAAAGGGTTTATTTAAAATGTTACTTAGTTCTTATTCTAAGTGTCTCGTTAAGTTCTGGTCATTGGAGAGCGATAGGAGAAAAGGATATTTAAGAATACTTTTTTATCTGTATTCCATCAATTTATAGGTGCAGTTGTGCCTACTGTATCTTTTCTCTAATTAGAGATGGCATGTAGGCTGCCTCATTACTTCTGCCTAATGAGCCAGGCCCCACACCACCTCTCTAATCAGAAAGGAGATAGGTACAGAATGTTCCCACGGACTTATTATAAATCATATTCTTTCTCGCACTTGCTTCTTTTGTGAATAAAAAAATTAAGTCGCTGTTCTCTCTATTTTTGTCCATCCCCAAGATGGTTTCGTTCAGCAGAGGTAACTGCAGGTGAATTAGGGGTGCTGTCTCTGGCTCCCGGCCATCTGTGCTTCCAGCCGACCTGGCTCAAACCAGCCATCTCCCGGGGGGCCTGAAGGAGACACGGGGGCATCTCTGTCTTTCTCAGGGTTGGCTTTGCGGTGTCCCTGCGCCTGCACTGGGCCAGCAACAACCTGTCAGCCGACTGTGGGCTGCGACAGACTTTGTCTTTGAGTCTCATCTCTAACCAGCATGACTCTAGGAATGCACGTTGCCAATGACAGTTTCTGTGGCTGCCTTGTCCTTGCACAGAACCGTGTCTACGTATGAACGGAATCCATAGACATACACTGCATGTCTACACATAGGCTGTGTACACACATCTGCATACAAAATACATAACAATTTATGCAGGGAGGGAGAGAGAGAAACATCGATGTGAGAGAGAAACATGGATCAGCTGCCTCTTGCATGCCCCCTACTGGGGATGGAGTCCACACTCTGGGCATGTGCCCGATCAGGAATAGAACTGGGACCTCTCAGTCCATGGGATGACGCTCAATCCGCTGAGCTACACCCGCCGGCCAGGCTGGTGTTTAAATATAAGAATAGAAACACCTTCGACCATATCAACAATGTGTCAGTTCATTTGTGGAGCATTTTCTTCTGGCTGTAGCTTTGCGTCAATGTCTCTGGTTGGGAATAAAACGTGGAGGAGCTGTGAGCTACACGGAACACCTTCTGCAGGTGGGGGTGCGAGGTGCACGGAGGGATGAGACCCAGGGGTGGAAAGGGCGGGCCCATGATATATTTCTGCAGCCATGACAAGCAATTATACTCGTGAGGAAATATTCATCTAGCACATATTCTTGATTATTTTCCTCTATATATCCTTTAATATAAACATAAACAGTAAATGTAATCTAAATGTATGTACCCCTGTGCACACACACTCACACACGCAGACACACTCTTTATAGGCCCCTAAGTCTCACCCTTCTCTGCTCATTTGTCCCCTCCTGCTCCTGAGAGCAACATCAGACTATTCGGGGAGGTAGGTTTACTCGGCATCTTTTATTCATCAGACGGATCCTCACTCTGCTCCACTTTCTTCCAAGGCACCACAAGGAACTGCAGCAAAGAGGGATCTAACGCTCTCTGCTATTAGGACAAAATAAAAAATGGAATAGTTAAGAAACAAACACATTTGAGGAAATGCTCACTTGGTGAATTGATCATTTCTCTAAATTTAATTTTTTTTAATATAATTTTATTGATTTTTTTTTTAAAGAAAGAGGAAGGGAGAGAGAGAAACATTGATGTGAAAGAGATAAATCAATGGGCTGCCTCCTGCACGCCCCCTACTGGGGATGGAGCCCACAACCAGGGCATGTGCCCTGACCGGGAATTGAACCGGGACCTCTCAGTCCATGGGATGAAGCTCAATCCACTGAGCCACACAGGCCTGAAGAAATTTAACTTTTTAAAAACTCATTTAATTATAGAATTGGCATTATACATTACATTCCTTCCCATCTTGGGTCCCATGATTCACACTCTAGCTAGAATTTTACCACCTTCAAGTTATTCTCATTATAAACAACATAACAAAAAACATAGAGGTGCTATTTGTCTTACTTTTTTCTCTTCCCAGTTTCTTGGACTCATCTGTTGGTAAACCCTAAATAAATATTTGCTAAATGGATTAATAGAAATGATATTGTGTGGTTTAAGGCTGATATCTACCTACACCTTGAAAGGTCACCTACTTTAATGCAGACAGGACTCGGGACCGGCCGTCTTAGAAGAATGGTTAAGGTGGCGGAAGTTTGAGACTGTGCCGGATTGGCCTGACACGTGTGAATAGTTCAAACTCACGAGCAGGAGGTTTTCAGTGTATCCTCATCTGCGGGAGATTTTCCAGACAGGCATTCATCTAGGTTTAGAGAGGACCCAAGGTGGTGGTCTGGTGCTTGGAGACCACACAGGTAGGAAGAGAGAGTGTGGACTCATCCTTGCGCCAAAGCAAATGTTCTGAAAGTTGCAATTCGGAGCAGATGCCAATCAAATGTAGGGTTGATGAGATGACAGATTTACAGGTTTATAAAGGAGAGAGTAATGGGACTTGGGGGGGGGGTCTTCTGGAGAGAGGTCACCAGTTGGTTCCGTAGATAGATTGGCCAAAGCAACCACTTTGACACTAAGTTCTACAATGTCGGTGGAGATAATTATGAGTATGATTGTTATTCATGTTGAATTGGTCAAATATGCATATTGGTCTCTAAGAATTTGAAAAGGCTGTGATATGTACATGATTCAAAGGTTTCGTGCTTTAAAGGAATGTCACTTGAATATCTGTCAGCCACTGCTTGGTAACCCGAGACTTCTCATGTTGGGGACATGCGTGTTTTTGCAGGTGGAGAGCAGTTTGTTGGCAGGATGCAGGATTTCCGGTTGTACCAGGTGGCCCTGACCAACAGGTAGGCAGATGTGGCAAAGCTCCAGCAATATGGAGACAAGTGCTTCATTTACTTACGTGGGAGGAGCATGAAGGTGTTAGCATTTTTCAACTCTACGGCATTTGGCAAACACCACCTAATGCATGTTCCCAGTGTTCGCTTTGGCTCAGTCGATGGCTGCTATTCATGAGAGCTACTGTTGGGTGGCTCCTCGTCATATGAAATCGTTCGAATTCTTTGCAAAAGATTTCTTCTAGGAAAACCATAGTTTTGAACAAGTGTTATAGAACTTGGAATGCATTTGTTTAAATGCCCTCCATGAAGTAGTTTCTGATGCTTTAGAAACCGCCGTGTCTCTACCTTTTAAACATGCTTCGTTGAGTTTATAAGTGCCAGAGGATGCAGCACCATGAGACACATCAATGAGATTCAGCGAAGGCGTGGCTGCCTGTGGTTCTAATGAGACCGGGGTTACGGGTGCTGGCTTACCTAACACGTCTGGAAGGGCGTTCCGTGGAAGAGTGCCCATAAACGGAATGACTGATTCCATTCTAGAACAGGTGTATCGCCCTTAATGGAAAAATTAAATATATCTGCCTGGAGTTGGCATCCTTCTCGGACTGTTGGCAGCGGCCGTAGGGTCTGAAGGCTCTGAAACATTTTCGAGGCCAGAGTCTGTACCGATGAGTCACAGGAAACCATTGACAAATGGCCTTGTCCTCAGGTCTTCCACCTACAACGGCAGCAGACAAAACTTATGACTTGTTTTCTTGATTCCCGTGGATGAACTGAGACCCTCTCTGCAACTCTTTATTTTCAATATATTATCGATCGCTCTCCGTGATTATGACCTTTCTTCTTATTACAAGTAGGGACCATCAACTAGTATGTTATTTAAATAAATATCTTGCAAATAGGCACCATCCATATTCCATTATTTAAATAAATATCTTACTGATCAGTCAAGGGATTGTGCATACTTCATGATAGAAAATGCTAATACCTAAGAATTGAATAACTTTGTTTTTTATAAAGTGAGTATGTTGCATTTTATGAGAAACGAGTATGTTTATGGGACCAGGAATGAATTTGGTTTTATGTTCTGTGCAAAAAATTAGGAAAGCTAAATAGATCCTAATGAAAGTATTAAAACAGTAGTGTTCCTTTGGAAGAGCCCTTGGAAATGCTATCACACTGAGCTGTTTGTCCTTACCTTCTGCCTCTTGACACCCACAGAGAGATTCTGGCCATTTTTTCTGGAGAGCTGCTCAGACTGCATGTCCAGCCCCATTGCCGCTGCCCGGGAAGCCACCCTCGGGTCCATCCTCTGCAGCAGCGGTACTGCATTCCCAATGATGCGCAAGACACGACCACCAATCGCGTGTCACGGCTGCATCCTGACGCCCACCCCCTTCCTTTTGTCAACGATAATGATATTGGTACTTCGTGGGTGTCGCGCGTGTTTACAAACATCACCCAGCTTAACCAAGGCGTGACTATTTCCATAGACTTGGAAAATGGACAGTATCAGGTAACTTGAACCCATTTGGTGTGTGTTCATTTTCTGTGGGCATTGCAACGCATGACCACTGATTTAATGGCTTACAGCCACAGACGTGGATTCTCTCGTAGTTCTGAAGATGAGAAGGGTGAAATCAAGGTGTTGGTGGGGCTGAGCTCCCTCCGGAGGCTGTAGGGGAGAATTCTTCCTGCTCCACCCAGCTCCTGCTGACTCCCCGTGTCACTGGGTTCACTCCTGTCTCTGCCTCCATGTTCAAGGGCTCCTTCCTGTCCCTGTCTGTCAGTTCTTCCTCCTCTTTCTCTTGTGAGGACCACTCTGTATCCTACTGAGATTTTTAACCACAGCATCTTCAAAGACCCTGTTTCCAAATAAGGTCACATTCACAGGTACCAGGAGTTAGAACTGGGATATCTATTTGGGAACACCGTTTAACCTAACGCCAGGTAAAAACTGAATAAAGCAATTGAATGTTACTTCTCTAAAGTAGTATATGCAGGGCCTACCTTTTAAGGGACTTGTATCAAAAGCATACAAAAAAAGTAAAACTTTTTTTTTAAAGTATTAAGCAACACATGAATAAAAACAGGTGCCTCTTTTAAATAACTACTTAAGAGGAACATATAATAACAATTATTTCATGGTAGTGATGTTCTTTTTTCATGTCTTTAGATAAAACTCAATATTGATTTCCACTTTAATTTATGAAATCCTTGAGACGAGACACCGCTCTGTAATGGTAGATCGTGTTGCTTTTACTATAGATCTATGCCATTTCTGAATGTCTAATCAACATTTGATAGTTATTATGAGGACGTAAGGCGTCCCATTGGAATCCAACAATTCCATGGTTTGTTTTATACTGGTGGGTTCGACATAAAACAATAAGGACAATAATCGACTTACTTATTTCCAGGTGTTTTATATCATCATCCAGTTCTTTAGTCCACAACCAACAGCAATAAGGATTCAAAGGAAGAAAGACGACAACCTAAATTGGGATGATTGGCAGTATTTTGCGAGAAACTGCAGTATTTTTGGAATGAAAAACAACGGGGATTTGGAAAATTCTGATTCTGTCAACTGCCTTCAGCTTTCCAAGTATGAATGTTTTTGGAACAGTTATCTTTGAAGGCTTTTAGGAGTGAATTCTCATAGACTATGGGATAGTAATAACCTACAAGTGAACTAACTCTCTAGGCTAATAGAGACGCCCCTTCACCACCAACTTTCTTGAGGCGGTTTCTTCTAAGATTCCTCCCTGAACTGGGTTTTAAATGATGTTTAAAGTTCCTGTGAAGACTTGAGATTATCTCTTGCTTGCAGTCTTATCTCTGCTTTATAATCTGCCCTTAAGATCACTTAGCAAGTTATCTGTATTATTAGGATTTTTATTATGTCCTCAAGGAAATGTTTTACTACACTTTTCTATGATGACCCTATATTGTTTGCATAGGAAATATATGTACTATTTTTCCCAGAGTGAAGAATTTAAGCTGTTAGGAATATGGTGTTCCAACTTGTTTGGTAAAAATATGAAGAGCTTCTCCTGATTTCAAATTTCTTCCATCAACAGTTTCCCTCCATATTCCCGTGGTAATGTCACATGGAGTGTCCTAAAACCTGGACCAAGGCACCGTCCCGGATACAATGATTTCTATAACACCCACGCTCTCCAAGAGTTTGTAAAAGCCACGCAAATAAGACTCCATTTCCAGGGACAGTACTATACAGATGAGACTCCTGTCAGCCACGGACACAGATATTACGCAGTCAATGAAATCACCATCACTGGGAGGTAGGGTTCGAGTGCAGTGTACTTTTCATTGTGAATTTCATTTTCAAGATTTTTGTCGTAATCATTTAAAACTATGCTAGCTAAGATTTTAGAGCAAGCCAGATCCCAAGCTTCAAGTATTGGAATGCTTTTCCACTCTGAGATTTTGGGAGGAGATTTGTATGTGAGTCTCTTCTGTCCATAAGATCCCATTATTATAGAATCCATTTTCCAAGCTATGACATTTAGAAGGTAAGATAACCTGGGTCTGCCTTAGAAAAATAATTTATCAGATATTTTGACTGGTGTGTTCTGGAATGAAATTTTCACTTATTCTTGAAACCAAAGCGAAGGAGCTTGAGTTGGAGTTCCAACGGTGGGCACAGTTCGCTTGTACGTACTGGGCTTGGCCTCCCTGGGTTCACGATTCACAATTTTATAAAGAATATTTGTTTTTTACTAAAGGGAAAATCTAATCTGCCTAGGTAATTTACAAATACCTGACCATAGTAAGCTCACAGTGTTTAAATGAACGAATCGCTGAAGTCTTCCCAGCACCCTCTCTAGTATTGAAATGGTATATCCATGGACGACATTGCGAAGGGGGTGATGCTAGAACAGTTATACCCTGTAAAAAAGTACCTCTTTCCAACCAAACCAGAATACCAATCTGTAAGCAGGATTGTTAAGTAATAGCATGATGAAAAAAATAATAATAATACGATTAAATAATCATCTAATTTGGGGACAGCAAAACAAAAATAATTGAAGGTTGTTGACTTCAACCTGCAGTCCAGTCTAAACTTTATAATCCTAACTAGATGTTTTGAATAGTTTAATTAAATGTCTTCTTTCTGGGCAAGTTTGCCCCATGGTTGATATCAGTGTCAGCAGCCCAGGTAGGCTTGAGAATTATCCTCACCATCAGTGCGGTTCGGATATTGATGACACTCGCTTCAGGACCTCAGGATTAATTTAATACTTTCGGTGAATAGCCCTAAAGGGAAAGGCATTTTTGTGTTGGTGAACACGCCCACCTTCCTGGTTGGGTGTGCACAGTGGACGTGTACACAGGTCCTTAAATATCTTCCTGTAGAGCGGGTGTTTCTGAGGAGCTGACTGATGCTCATTGGTATTCACAGGTGTCAGTGCCACGGTCACGCCCGTGCCTGTGACACCCGGCGCCGGCCCTATCGATGCCTCTGTGCCCAGGAAAGCTTCACCGAGGGGCCTCACGTGAGTTCTCTGTTCCATGCGTGGGAATCTCAAAAACGGGGGGTGCGAGGGGGTGAGGAATGGTGAATATAAATTCTTTAAACTTAATTTTGGTCTATTTGCGTATGAGTGAAATTTGGATATGAATGCAAATAAATGAATAAGAACCTAATATGTTAATTATCTCAGAAAAAATTATAGTAAAAATAAAAACCTTCAACAAAGTTGAAAATTTCATTAAAAAAAAAAAAAAACCAAAAACCCAGAGAAATAACTACTAAAACTAAATCCAGGAGTTTCCCCCTTTTCCTTGGTTTTATTAGTATTATCATAGTTTGGAAAGCGCCTAGTATTTTAAGGATAGACAGCCCTAAAAACTGGGCCGCGGGGAGGGTGTCTCTGATTCCTACATCTAAAGGGTGTTGTTTCTGTAAATGTTTTTACATAGAAAGTCTTGAGATGCAGAGACATTTTTATGTGTTTGCATCAGTCAAGTTTAATTTATTGCTGATATAAGTAATTTTACGTAATCAATTTGCAAATCAATGGTAAAATGATGTAAGAGTTATGCAAGGAGTTAGTGGGTGTCTGATGGTCAGAGGGAGTTTTACATAAAACCACAAAGACATTGAACAGCCAAAGCTATCTTGTAGAGCAAAGTTGGAGATATCACACCACTGTATTGATCAAAACAGCATGGCACTAGCATAAAAACAGACATATCGATCAATGGAACAGAATAGAAGCCCAGAATTAAACCCACACCTATATATGTGGTCAATTAATCTACGACAGAGGTGGCAAGAATATACAATGGAATAAAGACAGCCTATCCCAGAAATGACATTGGAAAAACTAGTCAAATACATGCAAAAAAAGAATTAAACTAGATTGTTTTCTTATACAGTATACACAAATAAACTCAAAATGAATTAAAGATGTGAATGTAAGACCTCAAACCATAAAGCTTCTAGAAAAAACCACAGGCATTACACTATTTGATGTCACTCTTAGCAGTGTGCTTTTGGATATGTCTGCTCTGGCAAGGGACACACAAGAAAAAATAAATAAATGGGACTGCATCACACCAAAAAGGTTTGTTCAGAGTGAAGGAAACCATCAACAAAATGAAAGGACAACCCACCTAATGGGAGAATATATTAGCCAGTGTTATATCTGATACAGAATTAATATCCAAAATATATGAGGAACTCACATAAGCTAACACCAAAAATAACAAACAATCCATTTAAAACTTGAGCAGAGGACCTGAATAGACACTTCTCCGAAGAGGACATACAGATGGCCAAGAGACATATGAATATGAAAAGATGCTCAACATCTTTAATCATCAGGAAAATCAAATTAAAACCATAATGAGCTATTACCTCATACCTGTCACATTGACCATCATCAATAAATCAACGAAAGCAACTACTGACCAGAAATTGAGAAAAGTATTACCAGAAATTGACTGTTGGTGGAATTATAAATGGTGTAACAACTATGAAAAGCCATGGAGGTTTCTCAGAAAATTAAAAATAGTACTACCACATGTCCCAACATATTCAAGTCTGGGTATTTATCTGAAGACATACAAAACACTATTTCAAAAAGATACCTGCACCCCTATAGATGAATAGATAAAGCAGTGGTATTTACATACAATGGAATATTACTCAGCCAGAAAAAAGAATAAAATCTTGCCATTTGAGACAACATGGATAGACATAGAGGGTATGTCTGACTTGAGATAAGTCAGACAGAGATAGACACATATCATATGACTTCATTTATATTTGGGATCTAAAAAAAAAAAATCAATGAACAAACAGAAAAGAGAACAAATTGTTGCCAGGTGCGAGGGGGGCTGGGAGGGAATGAGTGAAAAAGGAGAAGGGATGAAAACGCACAGATCGCCAGTTATGAAAGTAGTCACAGGATGTGAAGTGCAGCTTAGGGAATATAGTCAATAATATTGTAATGACTCTGTGTAGTGTCAATGAGCGCTAGACTTATCGGGGTGATCTCTTCCTAAGTTACATATCTCCGTACTAAGTTGTTCACCTGAAACTAATGTTGCATGTTAACTGTAATGAAAAATGAAATTTAAAATGGACTATTAGTTTGATAATATGCTGTTTTCTGAGCTCCTGTTTCATTTTGACCAGTTAGTTCCCTCCCATTCCCAACCCCCACCCTCCTCCCTCTTCCTCTTGGCACCCCATTGAATGTTTTCCCCTTTTTCTCTCTTTAATTGCTCACATTTAAGTGATTAATATTTTATGATTCTTGGATGATTTCATGCTTCCCCTTAAAAAGAGAGCAGTTAAATGAATCAAAGCTCATGATTGGTTTCAGAAATCATGTTGGGATTTTCAGGCTTGGTCTCAGGTGGTGAGTTAGATTATAAACTAGTGAAATAATTAACTATCATTTAGACGGTGAATACATTTGAATGTTGCTTATTTAGACATGAAGTGCCTTTTGAAAATAAAAATGTTGACTTTTTATTTTGGTTATTTTTTTTCTGTTTGACATAGTTTGATAATTTATGAATTTAGCCATCAATATAAAGGCAACAAATAGTTCTCACTTTTAGCAAAATTCCGCAAATGCAGCTGAAGGGAAAAAGTCAATAGACTGTTAAGCTGAATGATTTCTCAGTCCGAGGTTTTCCACAAGGTGTTGAAAATGAAAAATGATTTTATAAAACATTCATAAGCATGGCATTGTCTTTTTGTTATCAGTCAAAGTATTTTAATACAGCGGGGACTTAATGTAGCTGAAAAAGTTGTCTCGCAATAGTTCGAAAATATACTTAGTCCAATGCTTTTCACATTGCCCTTCCTTTTAAAATAATGTTTTAAGATAAACCATTCATTTCCTATTGGAACCAATGTTCTTTTTAAAGATCTGGACATAATCCAGAAAGAATGCCTTCAATTTCACAGTATTATGCTAACCATTAATAATATTACTCAATAAACAGGGCTTTTGTGAATTACATTGCAGCCATTTGGCAAACGGACGAAAACGTAAGCCTTGAGAAGGGGCCAGTTCTTGGCAATTGTCAATCCCCTGAGAGAGTGATTTCAGCAGAAGTGAAAATGAATGAAATTGGGAGAAGGCAGCAGAATGATCAATTCAGAAGCAAGTTCATATACGGAGACATTCTAGGGAGTCTTCTGTACAAAACTTTTCTTCAGTTGTTTATAAAGTTGATGTTACATGCTGGTGGCCACAGGTGGGAACAGTGTTTAAACAGTTTTTTAGGTTAATTTTCAGGAAGAGTTTTCACTTTCTCCCTCTCTCTCTCTCTCTCCTTTTTAAAATCTGTGACTTCCTTTAATCAGAAAATAGTCGAACACTGTGTCCATGATCTAACGTGGGGTAAAAATTACCTTCTATAGATCAGCCTCACTGTTCTGTTTGGTACCATATGCGGTTCTATCCATGGCCTTCTGTCTGGGAGACCTCATTTATGTTAACCACCTGGCTTTCAGATACAACTGAACCTTTAAAACCAAAACTTAGTAATAGATTAAAATTTACACTAGTAACTAAAAGACATGGTTAGTTACTCTGTGACTAGTAAGACCAAGTGTGTGTTTCCTAGTTCCATTGGTAAATCTGATTTCAGTGATCATTCATAAAATTTAAAAAACTAACAAGTCCCCCAAAACAACTAAAAAAAAAGTCTACTACCAAAGACCTCTCTGATCCCAAGATAAACGTCAAGCCACACATACTTTTTCCAGTACTTTATTTAAGGCCTTGATTTTAATGTGAGATTCCATAAATAATAATGGTATATTTCATTAATAGAGAATACTTTTTGAGTATTTGTGACATTCCCTTCCCAGAAATGACTGAAACAGGGAATAATTAACTTACTGGTTCTATTTTAGGATTAATTTTCGGCAAAACAAATTCCAGGAGACTGGTTGGTATTTAGTCACTTTCAAAGTAGAATTCCGGATTACATAGTATTGACTTGGATGAGTCCTTTGATGAGAACCATATGTTCTTTTTAGCTGATCAAATTGATTTTGAGGGATAACACATGGTCACTGCTACTTGTACATGTACTTTAAAATTTAACTTAACTTTTTATTTTACGATCATTGCAAATTCACATCCAGTTGTAAGGAATAATACAAAAGAGGTTTCTTGTACCCTTTCCCAATTGGACCCATGGTAACCTCTTGTAAAACTACTTTGTAAATCAACTTTTCTGCAGCATGATTTGCATACAATAAAATGCACCTATTTAAAATGTATAGTTTGATGAGTTTGAACAAAGGGATAGTCTTGTGTAATCACCATCCTCATCAAGAATGTTTCCCTTTCCCCAAACATTCTCTTACAGCCAAAGCTTCCCCTCAACCCTCCATCCAGAACCACCAATCTGCTTTCCATCATGATAGATGTGCCTGTTGTACAATTTCATAGCATGGCGTTATTCAGTATGCATTCTTTTGATACAGAGGTTTCTAAATCTCTATTCTCTATTTTCCTTGCTCATTTTTAGAACAGTTTGTAACTGGTTGTCCTAGTAGCTTTATTGCAACACAGTATCTCTGGTCCACATGCCCAGAAAGTCCATTACAACTCTCCAAAGATAAGTGTTAAGTTCCCAGATACTGACCACAACCTAGGAATTGAAAGCTTGAATGTGTGTTGAACATGTCAACCGGCATGACTGCATGGCTACAGTATACCTGTTCTTTTAACTAGTACTTTCTTCACCTGTTCTAAGAGTTCAAGCGTTGATAGAATGTAGCTTTAAGAACAGTGTTATCAGCCCTGGCTGGTTTTGTTCAGTGGTTAGAGCATCGGCCCATGGACCAGAGAGACCAGGGTTTGGTTCCCGGGCATGGATCTTGGTTGCAGTTTGTCCCTGGCCCTGGACGGCGTTGTGTGGGTGGCAACCACTTGACGTCTCTCTCTCACATCGATGTTTCTCTCTCTCTCTTCCTCCCTCTCTCCCTTCTGCTCTATCTCAAGATAAATGCAAA